AAAAATAGATCATAACTAAATTTATGCTATTTTTAAGCTAAAATTGTTACACAAACTCTACAGCTTAAGGGATAAGAATTAAATACAATAATTAACTACACGACTTATACCTAATTAGACATAAATTAGAAGTACAAATATTATCAGAAAAATGTAAATATCTAAAGATTAAATTCTAAATAATATTTCTGCGAAATTTCCTGAGTCTCACTGATCAGATTTACAAATACAAGATTTAATTTGTATAAAATAGGAATGTATTAAAGCTTTGTAGCCTTACTGATTATCAATTGATTAATAAGGAATTAACAATCAATAAATTACTACATATGATATTTAGTGCTTCTCTTAAATCAAATTAATAATCAGTACAATATAATATTTAGTGCTTCTCTTAAATCGAATTAATAATCAGTGCAATATGATATTTAGTGCTTCTCTTAAATCAAATTAATAATTAGTGCAATATGATATTTAGTGCTTCTCTTAAATCGAATTAATAATCAATGCATAATAATAAAAAAAGAAATAGAATAATAATGAAATTGATACTTAAAAGTCATAGCTTGTATATCTTGTAACTTTTTAGTTAATCTAAATAAAGTATATGATTAATACCATAGTTGTGATTAAAATAAAAAAAGGAGAGAAATTAATAAAGCTAAATAGGTATAACTTAAAGATGGCTATGTAAATGTGTGTTGAAATTTACGAGAAAGAAAATAAAAGATTAAACACTTTAAAAAAAAAATAAAATAAAATAAAGAAAAAAGCCTCAAATATAATAATTAGCCATTAATAGAAAATTAGTTTAAATGAAATAGAACATGACAGATTTTTTTTTTTAAAAAAATGTATTTAAAATAGTTTAAAAAAATAAAATTAACTCAGCAAATTACGGTAGTTATAGCTTGATTAAAATGAATCAAGAAAATCCTTCTACATTTCAATATGAATTACAAGAAGATATTTTTGACAATATCCTAGAAAATAATTATACTCCTACTGTACTTTATAAATTTTCTTTGCAACTATGTTCCCTTGAGTATTTTACTTTTAATCTTGAATATTCTACTTCGCCATCACACATGTCTGATTTGATTTCTGCTATACCCTTAGAATCTTCATCACTATACAATCTTGAATGTATTGCTTCATCTTCTAATCTTGAATATTCTACCTCTCCAATATATGCTTCTAAATATTTAACTTCTTCATATAACTCTAAATAATCTACTTTGTCATTAAATAACTTCTAAGATTTTACTGCAATATATAATATTTCTGACTATCCTGATTCTTCAAATATTCAAACTCTACAAAATACTAACAAACATAAGTCAGTTTTTATAACTTCATCATACAAAAAACCAAAACTTAGAAAAAGCTGGGTGTGGCTTTATATGAAAAAGAATAAGTATATAAAAAAACAAACAAAATGTATAGTTCTAGTTAAATGAGATGAAAAAATAGTAAAATGTGGTAAAACTTTTGTGCTTCTTACTAGCACAAGTACGCTTGGTTTTTATATACATATGATACATTGTTTATCAGAAAAAGGTTCATTATTACCATTATTAGGAGCATCTGAACAACCAGCTTCCAAAAGACCTATTAATATAGCTTAAAAAAACTCTATACAACCTATATTGATAGATATATTAAAAAATAAGCCATTGTTATCTTTTAAAAAAAAAGACAAACTAACCTCTAAACTTTTAGCATAAATCATTGATAATATGCAAGCATTTAACGTTTTAGAGAATGAAAAATTTCATGACTTTGTATATGAAGCTAAATCGTATTATCAAATTCCATGTCAAGATATTTTTTTAAAAAAAATATATGAAGCAGTTAGCTTCGGAGAAAATAAAACACTTAACCTTTTTCAGACAACAATGGATACCTTTTTATTTACAACTGATCTCTAAACAAGTACATATAAGCCATATATCAGAATTACTGCTTATTGGCTTAACTCCAATTTTCAACTAAATAAAGTACTTATAACTATTGAAGAATTTCCTTACCTTTATACTGGAGAATATATTAAAAACTGTTTAAAACATAAGTTTTCCAAATAGTGTATTTCAGAAAAATGTATCTCTAAAACAACTAACAATACAGCATCAATAGTTAAAGCAATAAATAATCTTGGAGTAATTTATATTGCTGCATTATGCATACCCTTCAACTTTTTATTACAGATCCTTTAAAATCCGATGAAATAACGAAATTGATTAATAAAGCCAAAAACTTAAATAGTTTTTTGGTTCATAAAGATAAATACAGAAAAATGTTAAAAAATACACAAGATGAAATCAATAAAAAAAATAATTCTTGTATTACAAGCTGAATGCAATTCTTAGAGCCAATAGCCACAGTATCGACTACATGTTGGAATTCTATATTTGTGCTTTTAGAGCGTCTATTGTTGCTATATGAGTCTACGCTATTACTTACAAAAAGGATGATTCAAAATGTTGATCGTGAAATTCATAAAGATAGAAAGAAGCTAGAAACCTTATTATTAAAAAAAAATAAATTGTTAGGCCTTAAAGAACTTGTTTATTTATTAGAGCCTTTTGCGAAAGCAATATTTCTTATAGGTAAAGATACATACTCTACACTTTCGCTTATACTTCTGACAATTACAACCCTTCAAGAACACCTATTTAAAGTAGAATCGTTACTTACTTATTTAGTTGTTCGTAATATTAGAAATAAATTGAATTTAATATAGCCAATCAATGGGAAGATCCAGTAATAGAAGGATATTTGGCATCAATTTTAGATCCTAGTTTAAAAATCTAGAATTTGCTTCTGAAAAATTTGAAGAAACAAAAACATCTCTAAGACAACAAATGAGAATATTAAATGAAAATGAATGTTCAAATAACCAACCAATAGCAAAGCCATCTTCAAACTTGGCATCTTTTTTTAATAATACTACCCCTACCAAAAAATTATTTCTGATTGATATATAATTAAAAACATATTTCAACTTGCCTTAAATGATATTATATGATTCTGACGATTCAGAGTATAAAACTGAAAATTTACTTTCTTGGTAGCAGCTATATATAAAAACTTTACCTTTACTTGCATATTTAGCTCATTGGTATTTTGTAATTCCTGCAACCTCGGTTCTGTCTGAGTGTCTATTTTCAATACAGTTAGACCTCTATAAATACAACCTCCCTAAATGCACGTTCTATGAAAAACCTCTATAAATGCATAGCCTTGCTATGTCTCTACTATATATACACTTATAGATTTTTACTTCCCTAAATGCAATACCTCCATAAATGCAAGATTTTTTAAAATTTTTATATAGTCTGTGCGAATTGCATTTAGAGAGGGTTGACTGTAGCTAGAAATGTATTAACAGATAAAAGAAATAGATTACTTTTGAAAAGTGTTCATGATTTAGTTTTTTTAAAAAAAAATAGTAAGAATTTCAGCATTTATCCAGATCTTGAGTAAACATATTTTAAATTCTAAAATAATTTGTCGATATAAAATATGTAAATTGACTAAATAAAGTTCAAATTTGTAATAAAATTTATCTAAATAGTAAATTCTTTATACATATATACTATGTACCACTTTGTGACTGATTTTTTTTTTTTTTTTTTTTACGTGATCCTGTTTTTATTTATCTGAACTACTATTTGATACAAAGTACTGAAGTACCTATGATCTTTATAGAATACTGTTCTAGTCTAATAAAAACTCACCAAGAGTACAGAGTACTACCCAATGCGACCTGCTATAACAACTGTTTGTCTTACAAAGGGATCCAAAACTTATTTCAGATTTTGTACTATAAAGATACCCCTCTCGATCATTTGACAAGTTGTTGTATACTGTGTCAGGATCTTCCATCCTTTCTTTACAACTTTTCTCACCTAGGTTTGGGCAAAATAATTATCTCCTACTTTTCTACAAGCTAAGAACATATATACTACATTTATGAAAGAAAAACTACATCTAGGAGAAGAAAGGAAAAACCAAATAGAATACACAAAGAACATAACCTAAATAAGATTCCATTATAAATGAATGAAGATAAAAAAAGCATAAAAAAAGTCGGAAGATCCCGACACACACTATTATAACCCGTGCCAGGTTTGTGTAAAAATTATATAACAAATACAACATCTGCATATTTCTAATGTAAAGCTAAGCTTTAATCTTAATATTATCCCACTATATAGAATCGGAAATTTCTAGCCTTCGCAGCTCCAGGTCCTGTCTCTAAAGTGGTCGCCGCTGCTATTATGCGTCTTCAAAACTCCCACGAGGGATTCCAGAGGTAGTCCGGTTCGAAATAGTGGCGCTGTTCCCATATTTGGCCAGGGTACGTAGTTGTACTCCACTGCGTCGTCTGAATTTGGTAACTGTAAGCAATGTTAATCTTTTGACGGGGTAAGCTGTTTTGCCCACTTTTTTTGAAATTTTGTTACTATACCAAGTGGGTGGTGTTTGAGGGTTCTTGTTCTCATACTTAGTCTTTTCAGTACTAAAGAGTAAAGGTTACCAAAGCCAGGGCCCGATATACTCAACCTAGAGAGAACTCTTCTTTTCGGTAAGTAATAAACTCTAAAGCTGTTGGCAAGTAGTGTATGAGAACTACTTTTAAACAACAGTTGCCATCCCTGCAGTGAGTGATAAATTCTAAGCCTACCGGCAGGTAGCATATGAGAACTACCTTTAAATGGTAGATGCTAGCTTATGGTTTCATTCATTTCACCAAGTGTATTGTATATCAGGTTTCTTGTTTTTCGAGTTGGATTCTTCCCAAAAATTTCGATACGAGTGATCGTTGGTGAGAGTTTTTTTGTTTTGTATGCTTTGTGACTGATTATATATATTACCTATTACTTGTTATGTATATACATATGTATTTAATAATCAGATATGTGATATAATTGGTGTATTTTTTCATGTAACAATATCTTTAAAAAAAAATCGACTTTGGCTAAAAACTGAAATAAATAATCAACTTAAATCGACTTAGTCAAGTCAATTTTTTAAGATTGACTTGGTTCACTAGTGGTATACCTGGCATGCCAAACACAGATATGGTTAAAAGTGGTGAGCCAATCAGATTTAAACATTATTGAATATTATTTATTATATAAAAGAAAAAAATTTAAATAGTAAAAAGAGTTTACTATTTTGCAAAACTACTATTCTTGATAGATCGTTAGTACCATTCCTAATAAAGCAAAAAAAAAATTAATTTGTATACCATTCTTGATAGATTAATTGGTGATCCACCAGTCAACCAGAGAATGATCATAGTAAAAAGTAACTCAAATTATTTATAAAAATTGAAGTCTCTAAATGTGGCGTGCGCACATCTAAAACTTTTTTTTATACTAAGTTAATCACCTTTCTAACTTAAAAGATTTTTGTAGAGCTTGTCAAGATGCATCTAATGGTAGTTAGAGCATCGAAATCGGCTTGGTAAGTGCCGAGATATCTTTAAAAAATGTTTTTTTTACTATATAAACTTCTTTGCA